AGAATTATTTTATTCTGTGTTCTATCCTGCATTTCAGCATACTGTAGTTAAATAGTGTCTTGCAGACAGATCAGCCACTGATGTGCTTGGTTTGTTCCACTCCTTCAAAGATTTCGGCCATGTAAACATCAATACCAGCATGAGATATTCAAGTAATGCCTTAGAAAAGAAAAGTAGCACTAAAATTTTGTCTCTTTCATGGAAATAAACATTTTACTGAAACTTACAGCTGACTGAGCACTGACGTGAGTACATCCTATGATACAAGCGCCATCAAGGGGTCTTTGCTTGCCAACCCTTTCCAAAAGCGTTTTGCATCCAGGCATTTCTGAAAAGAAGCATGACATCAGACAGTAGATCAAAATTAAATTGTCAAATTAAATTATATGTGCCTGAAGGTTAGTACTCTTGTGTTCATTCATGAACTAAGAAAGTAATGCAGCAGTCGTAACGCACAATATGTTGCCAATAATAAATTCTTGAAATGATCCTAGTTCATTAGCGATTTCGTCTGTTCACCTGTTCAAGGGAATACGACATAAATCGCCGTTATTTTCTGGGACGTATCCTACTCTTTCTATCAGTTATGATAATGAGAAGATGCTTTGAGTGTTGTGAGGATTTTCCTCAGTCTTTCACATTCATTAGCTCGCTAACCGAGGATCCCAAAATTCATGGCGGTCTTTCAAAGTAGCCATAGCGGATCGGAGGAAAACCAAAATTGCATTTCGCTCTGTCAAAGCAATCGCAGGCGTATTTAGCTGGTACTCGTGTCGATACATGGAAAGGAAGTTTGATTTTACAAAACGAGTCGACAAATGAGGTTCCTATCGTTGAAGGCCTGCAGTTAATATTCGTACCAAAGTAAACTGTTCAGCCATATTGATTTCAAGAAATTACTGTAGGCGCCTCATACTGATATTTATAGTTGCACCTCATGAATTGGAAACTTGAAACATTCGTCCTTGCACATAAGACACCTGGACATAAAATAATGCTGACAAACGATATTAAGTGTAGACGGACTGAACCTTGTTACAGAAACTAAAGTCATCGCTTTTCAAAGGAAACATTTTCTAAAGCCGATGGAAACGCGCTGTTCAGAGAGATCAAGAAAGTCGACTGTGTCATTCATGCGATATCCTTGTATAACTTCTGAAGAACATGGTGGCATATCAAAATCAAGAAGAAAACTAATGCTGAGCATCTTTATTTCGAGATGAGGCTTAGAAAAGCTTTGGGAGTCGGTTCTGATTCTGATTTGAGAAGAAACTATCCAAAAGCTGTTTCTCTGTGGGAAGCATTCACTGGTCTCAGATGCGCTGCAGACCAAAGCCCCTGTCTGGCAGAATGAGAATTAGGACAGAGGATACTTATCGTGGCAGGCAAGAATGTCAAGATCGAACAGATAGACACGTAATTTCCATAAGGATAGACATCGATATTTCGGATTGTTCTATATTCAAGCTTGCGCGAAGCTTTAATCA